CAACCGTTGGAAAATTCCCAATGGAAAATTCCATAAAAACGAACAAAAGAAAGAAGAACATAATGACTGGGAAAATTCCCATAGCTAACGAGGAAAAACCCGATATGCACATATCTAACATCGAGGGCATAACACGCCCCCCCCCCATCGGAGAAGATGAACGGCCACGTTCATCGATTACGATCTTCACTGCCTATTTGATCCATGTTCAGTGAGTGATTGTGAAATTGTTGACCGATTATTGATCTTACTATATGGTTGTACATGAATTTGGTATTGAATCAAGAGCTGCCACCACTTGATACACAATAATACCTATTTCAGATTGAATTTTTCTCCATATAGAATAGTTTTTTTGTTTTTTATCATCATCAGTAACTTTTGTGAAATTGTTTATGCTATTGTTTGTTTGTCACCATAAGTTCAGATGCCATGTAATTTGGTTACATGCATATGATGGCATAGTCAGTAGTGATTATGGTTTCATATGAGTCTTTCGGCTATTGGCTGTAGATCAGCCACATGAACCTTACGTTGAATTGATGTCTCTTGATCTTGAATAATGTAGTTCGGATGCTTTTCCTGAATGATGGTATATGGACCTGAATAAAGTTCGTCAAATTTGGAAGTCCGATGAGGTTTCCGCCATAGCACGAGATCATTAATTTTATAGAGCGGGTCGCTACGATTTCTGTCATACCTCGTTTTAGCTAAATGCTGCTGTGCTTGAATTTGTTTCTTCGCTGCTTGATGATACACTTGTAATAAACGTACGATTCGAGGCCAGTAATCATTAGGAGTTGTCAAATTGAATGTTGTATGCTTGAGTGCTAAAGGTAACGTTGGTTGTCGACCAAACATTAGTTGAAATGGTGAAAACCCAGTTGTCGCATGTTGTCCTGTGTTGTAGGCGTATACCACAGCTGGTAAATAATCATCCCAGTTATACAAGTTTTCATCGAACAATTTCGCCAATTGCGGTCGAAATGTTGCATTGAACCGTTCGACCTGCCCATTCGTTGGCGGGTGATAGGGTGTTGATTTGATATGGTCGAATCCTATTAATTGGGCTACATTTTTCATTAACTCGTTATTGAAGTGAACTCCTTGATCTGTAATGAGACGGTTTGGTACTCCAAACTTGAAAATGAATTCCTCTACGAACGTCTGAGCAGTTAATTGCGCTGTATTGTTTGGTAAAGCTTTCGCTACGACAAATTTAGTTAAATAATCCGTTATAACCAACACGACTTGTTACCACTTATCGATTCTTGTCTTGTTGGTCCCAAAAAATCCATGCCAATTAACTCCATTAGTCCTTCAGGTGGTGGAATTGGGTTCAGTTTGCCAGATGGTTTTGTTCGTTTGATATTATACTTAGCACATTTTTCGCATGATTGAACATAATTTTCTATTTCTTTACGCATATGAGGCCAGTAGCATCGCTCCCTTAATTTAGTCCATGTTCTTCTTGAGCCAAAGTGGGCAGCTGTAGGATGATCATGATAACTAGACAACACTTCTCTTCTCATGGATGATGGAATATAAATCAATTGACGAATAGGTCTGAAGCGAGAAGGGGGAATAATTTTATGTACTATGTCATCATACATTACATATGAAAGTTTTTCCTGAATATTTTTCATAATGTGTTGAACGTTTGGGTCCTTCATTTGTTCTTCACGTATTCTTTCAATCCCAAAATCAAATGTTGTTAACAGATGCTTAATTGGCAGCTTCTGGCTTGTAGTCGATGCTGGAGAACTATCATAATGATTTGTATTCTCTATTTTACGTGCCATTGAGCGAGTGACAACATTGAGAGAAAAATCTTCATTCTTATTAGACGACGACACATCATTTTGTCCAGGAAAGTCTGGTCTTGATAAACCATCAGCATCACCATGTAAACATCCTTTTTTGTATTTTACATCGAGTATTTGAGGAATGATATCTTGATGTTTTAAAAGCCATTCATCTATTCGTTTACAGTTGAAATGATTCTTTTTATGAAATTGTTCAAGTGGTTTGTGATCGGTGAAAATGGTGACATCACGACCACCAAGGTATTGCTGCAATTTATTTATGCACCAAAATATTGCCAATGCTTCGCGCTCTATAGTTTTGTATTTCTTTTCAGTTGGGGAAAATAAACGACTTAAGTAGTAATTATAATGAATCTTTCCATCGATTACTTGTTTCAACGCACCGCCTATCGCATAGTCTGATGCATCCGTTGCCAAGATAAAGTCAGCTGTTGGATGTGGATATTTCAACATCAATGGTGATGTTGTAAGAGCTTTCTTCAACTTATTAAAGGATGCACTTTGTTCTTGATGCCAATAGAATTCATTTTTCATCTTCTTTGTTTTGTTGGTCACTTTGTGGATTGGTGCTGCAATCTGGGCGAAATGTGGAATGAATTTTCGATACCATCCAATTTTCCCAATAAATCGATTGGCTTCAGCCAATGTTCGTGGTTCAGGCATATCCAAAATGGCTCGAACACATCTTGTGATGGTTTAGTCGAATCACAAGTGATTGTATGACTTAAGAATTCCACTTGTTGAACAGCTATAAGGCATTTGTTTTTATTGAGTTGAAATTGATGTTGATCTAAGATTGACAAAATCTCTTCCAAATGTTTACGATGCTCCTCAAAGGACTTCGAGAATATAATAATGTCATCCAAGTATACCAAAACGAAATCCCAACGTTTGTAGCCAATTATGTTATTCATTACACGTTGAAAAGTAGGTGGAGCATTCATTAAACCCATTGATAATACCTCGAATTGATATAAACCGTCTTGCGTACAAAATGCCGTTTTCTCTTTATCACAATCTTGAATCGGGATCTGAAAATAACCAGATTTCAAATCCAATTTCGTAAACCATTTATGTCCCCCCAATCTTTGTAAAAGTTCCTCGGTTGTCGGTTGAGGGTACGAGTCTTTTCTGGTGATGGCATTCAATCTCCGATAATCAACAATAAATCGAAATTCACCATTTGGTTTCTTCAGCAATATTACTGGAGATGACCAAGGTGAATGTGATGGTACGATAATACCACTTTTTAACATTTTGTCGATCTCTTGTTGAATATCCCTTCGCTGTTGAATTGTCTTAAAGTAAGGTCTTGTATTGATGGGTGGATGATTTTCTGTATCAATAACATGATGAATTGGAGTGATTACCTTCCTATGTCTTGTTTCAAATAACGAACCATACTTTTCCAGAATACTTTTAATTGCAGAAAGTTGATTTGAATCAATGATATGATTGGTAAGAGATTTAAGTATTTCTTCTTTTTGTTCATTCATATTGTTGTCTCGATTCGGGTGATCAGTTGGATTTTTCTTCACTGTTTGTTGTAAACTGCATACAGATGTGTTCATAGATAATCTCGAGGTTGTACCAATTTTCATATCTTGCGGTAACGTCACTGTAGAACCTGATGTGTTGGTAACATTTAGTTTGACTATCCTATTATTCACTACTACTAGCCCATCTGTTATTGATATGCCTTTCTGTTGCTGTATATGCTGATGAATCCTACAAAAATAGAGATGACTGGCATTTATTATAGAAGTTTTTACTTTAACAATACAGTTCGCACGCGGTAAAATGTCATATTTTCGCACCAATTTGACATCAATTTCTTTATCCTTATTAAAACAAATCGTCGTTTGGTGATGGTGATTATGGATCTTCAGCTGTTGCTTGCCTGGAAAAATATGTACGTCGTAGAATTCGATCCAATCCATGCCAAGAATAAAATCTGCAGCTAAATCAGCTACTACTATGGTCCTAACCTTCGTTCTAATGTTATTGATTTGAACACACAAGTCCACTGAACCGTATTGCCATAATTTTGTCTTACCATCTCCCAATGTAATTTCTCATCGTATGTCGCGTAATTGACGATAACAATTCACTTGTTTCAATATTGATAATTTTATCAATGATGTTGTAGCTCCAGTATCCACCATTGCTCGAATATTCCTTCCATTAATGATTGTTTTGATAAAAAGTAATGTTGATGGATATTTTTGTTGTTTGGAGACAGTACCATCATGTGTCTCCATTAGTAGTTTTTTGAATACCAGCAGTTGCGAGCAAAATTACCACTTTTGTTGCATATGTAGCATCGCTGTTGTTTTCGTTCTCGGTATGACTGTTGTTGTTGAGGTGTATATGGTGATTGTTGTTGGTGTTGATATACATATGGTGGTTGTTGTTGGTGTTGATATAAATATGGTTGTTGCTGTTGATGGTGTTGATATAAGTATGGTTGTTGTTGTGATCGATGTTGTTTATAGGTTGTTGTAACTCTTGCATAATAATTATCACTATCATGCTGTGCTTGTGTTTGTGGATACGAATCATCATCATTTTCCTGTATCCTTGGTGAATTTTGTGTTGTAACATTTGTTATTGCTTGTAATTCGTCCTTAGATGAAATTTCCCAATTTTTTATCGATGCAGCCATTGAATAATCAAGGTTTTCTTCTTCTTGGGCTACTTTTAGAAATTCAGTTGGTGTTCGTGGATCTTTTCGTGAGACTTCTTTCCTTAAGGATAATTTTAATCCATGTTTTAGGTAGCTGACCTTCAACAGATCGCTCATTTCATCATCTATGGCATCGAATAACTCCATCATGTCACTTTAATAATGCATAACGGTTTCGCCAACATCTTGACTACGTTGAGCCACTTTGCTGAGAGTGGCTTCCTTCGCGAATGTTGATGAAAAAGATTGTTTAATTGCTTCATTGAATTCGGACGATGTCTTTATTTTTTCCATATTACTAATAAACCATTTTCTAGCATCATCAATCAAAGAAGTTTGAATTACACTCAATTTTTGACTATCATCAAACTTGACAACATCTAGTTCATTCGTAATATCTTTTAACCATTTAATCACATTTTCAGTTAATTTTCCACCAAATGTAGGCCATTGATCTAACTGTTTGCTGATTCGAGAAATTAAGAGTTTATCGGTCATTTCAAATGGTATTGCTTGTGGATTAAGAGATACTTCAGTAGGTAGAATTTTAGAGATTGCTTTACTTTCAATATTATCAAGTGGATCTACTTCTTCAGAACACTGTCGTTGGTTTTGCTCGTCAATTTTTCGTTGTTGTGACCTTGTTATTACCATAAAAATATCACTAGTTTAGGACGTAGGATATTTCCGGCCTGGATTCGAGTATATCGCAACTGGATTCGCCCACAGTTGGGACCAAAACCCAAACTCTACGGACCAAGATAGAACTCGACGAGCTCTATCGAATGCACTCT